CCGTCAGCCCGCTCACCTGTGAGTATGATGTTGGGCACGTTGTGCCTTCCGTCTCCACCGTAGTTCTGATTTTGGTTGTTGAGGTGCTGCTGCTGCTGCTCGCTGGGATCTATCAAACCCATGGAGCCCTGGCTGTTGGAGGGGAACTGGTTCTTGTCACTGTTCCCGCAGCTCATGTTTCCGTGGTTCAGGGACAGACTGTCACCCTGGTTCTCTGCTGTGAACTGAAGACAGGACCAGAAGAAAATTAGCATCACTTAGAAAATTGAAAAATCATTTGATCTTTAGGGGGAAAAAAATAATAAAATAATGACAGCTGTTTGATTTACCTGTTGGTTGTTAGACTTGCTGGAGAGCTGTAGACTCAGGTATGGATCGTCCAGCAGAGAGTTAAACAGAGAATCCTACAGGGAAACCAAAGAAAAACACATTTGTGAAACTAGGACAGTGTTCATTTAAATCAGGGGTGGCAAACATACGGCCCGTGGGCCAAAATCGACCCACTGGGGAGTTCAATCCGGTCTGCTTGATGAATTTTGAAATAAAAAAAAAATGCAACACTTTAAGTTCGTGATGTCTTTACAAATGATATTTCAATATATATGACTATTTTCTAATATACTTTGTACAGTATAACAAAGGGGACAAACATGGACTTAGTTTTATTTATAGCTAACTATGTTATGATGTACTGGTCCGGCCCATTTGACATCACCGTTTATTTAAATGAACATAAACTGGGGCTGGGGGTGAGTCATTATATTCATTTTTTTAGACTTTGAGACACAGAGAAAATATTTGAGTAAATTACAAATATAACAAATAATTATTTAACAAAGGTCCATTCTCAAAGTCAGAACCTTATATTATTATATTTTATTGAATATGTGTTACTTGCTTTGTGCTGATTTTATTTATCTGAATTCTTTAGTGTGTTTAGGGATATTGCTGTATGAGGCAGCGACACAAAGCACTGAAATATGCAGTGCACTTCCCAACTGCTGGTCTCCTTGGATGCTGAGATGGAAGAAATAGTTTAGTCACTGAGTCACTTAACTTTGCACATAAAATGTACTGTACATCCACAGAATCCTAAGTTCCTAACTCTTATGTCACTGTTGAATTTTAAAGGGACACATGTCTACAGCTGCCTTCTGTTATCAGTTTGTTTAAATGAGGTAATAATTTTAAACGCTGAAGTCACAAATAACCCATTTCAAGGCAACAAGGGATGAACATCTGTGGGCTACGATGTAATATCATTTTTTTCTTCTGGAGATATTATACAACAAAGATAAGATCTTGATGATGACGTACACTGAAATTTTTTTTTTTCCTTAGGTGTGAGACCAAAAAGGCCAGATCTTGATGATGACGTACACTGAAATTGTTTTTTTGTTTTTTTTTGAGGTGTGAGACCAAAGAGGCCGAAAGCCACAGGTTGCTCCAAGAGGGGCTGAATTTTGAAAATTTCATACCAAAAGTGTCTTACTCACATTATAAAGATCAGAGGTGAGACCATGGCTGATGTGCTGGAGGGGCGAGAGGATGCCTACTCGCTGCTGCTGCTGCTCACCCTGCTGTTCAGGATCCCGTTTGACGTGACAGTGCGGCGACAGCGAGGAGCTCTGGACACAGTGCGCCAGTGTGTTTTCGCTCTTGATCTGCGTCGTGTTTGCGGTGCTCGCCTGCGGTCCGATGTGCTTCTGTGGATCAGAGTGTTAGAATCTGCTGAAACCTCGTCGTCACAGTGCTGTGAAATACAAGCCAGACGCTGTTGTAGAAGTCAGATTAGTACCGTTCCAAATTGCTGCTGCTGCTGCTGTTGTTGCTGCTGCTGCTGCTGCTGCATGTGCTGGTTGCGAAGGTTCTGCAAATGGAGTTGCTGCATGGACTGTAGCTGATGATGATGCTGCTGCTGCTGCTGCTGCTGCTGATGCTGCTGCGGCTGGTTGTTTGGCCGCGTCTGCTGAAGGCGATGCAACTGTTGGTGGTGATGGGGATGTGAGACCATTCCAGGAGGCTGCTGGCTCTGCTGAGAGCCGGACAGATTTGACACAGGCTGGTGTGATCCCGGCGGGTGCTGGTGCTGATGGGACTGACTGAGGGGGTATGGAGGAAGCCTCTGGTCTAGAGGCAGTTTGCTGGTGTCCAGTGGAACTCCCTTTGGAGGATGGAAGAACTTTAGTAGTGTGAAGGAATAAAAAAAAATAGCAATGTGTCATTTTCAATTTTTAGGTTATCGTGAATCATCGGTATGTTTTACCTGTGTGATGGAAGACAGTGTAGGGGAAATAGTGGGAGAGAACTGTTTGGAGTGATGTCTCCTCGTCTCTCCTCCCATGGGTAGGATAAGCGGGGAAAGCTGGGCCCGTCTCCGTGGCGACGTGCTGAGCGTCCCCGGCTGACCCTGTCCACTGAGCAGTGGCTGGTAGGAGGAGGAAGAGGAAGAGCCTGAGCTAGGTCCGCCCACGCCGCCAACACCGCTGCCCCCGTAGCCGGCGTTACTGCCAGACACGGACTGCAGCGAGGAGTTGCTGAGGGATGAGTGCAGCGAATGGCTGCTGAGAGAGGACGGAAGGGACGGGGAGGAGCTTAGAGAGGACTGCAGCGAGGGGTTGCTGAGGGAGTGCAGTGAGGCGGAGCTAAGGGAGTTGGAGAAGGAGTGACTGCTGAGAGACGACTGGATGTTGGGGTTGCTGAGCGACGACTGCAGGGACGAGTTACTGAGTGTGCTCTGTAGAGACGCCAGGAAGCCTGAGGACAGAGGACACAGTTCATCAGCGGACCGTCCAGAATGAGCGCAGACAAAAAGGTCAATCGACCATCGATTCAACCCTTAAACCAACTACCCATGACGGAACCAGGCAACTTAAATTCATCCACCCAACCAATCGAGCAACCGACCCAGTAGACACAGGTAAATACAACCAACTCAGACCTGGTGTGTGGTGGAAGTTGCCGTTGCCTCCTGCTACGTTGGCGGCGTTAATGCCCAGCTGAGTCAGGGTGGAGGTCAAGTTCCCAGTGCTGCTACCCCCGCTCAAAGAGGATCCTGGGTAGCCTGGCTCATCCTGATCCAGGGGAGTGGGCAATGGGGAGGGGAAGTGGAGGCTGGACAGATCAGGTAAGGATCCACCCGTGTTAAGAGCTGAGGGGACACCGTGAGTCGGCAGAGACGGCTGCTCCGGAGAGGTGAAGATACTGTGGCAGAAGAATCAGAGACAGGTTTTGTATGATTTTACTGAATTGCCGTTTTAACCAAAACTTTTTTTTCCAGAGAGAGGCTTTAAAAACAGTCCTAATGCGTGTGCAATGAGGAACGCTGGACTTACTTGATGCCTGGAACTTCACAGGACTTTGGTCGGGATGAAAGCAGAGGCAACTGGAGTCAGAGAAATAATAATAAAAAAAAAAGTTTGTGTATAAACTTATAGGATGTTCTGGAGAAATGCCATTGAACATAAAGGGCAGGGATGTAAGAATAAAAATTGTTTTATTAACTGCACCTTCTTTGTGTCCCACGGTTTGAGCAGTTTCCCCTCGTCCAGCACGTTCTCTTCAATTGGAGGCACGGGGTATGGAAACACTGCAGGACAAAATAAAGAACAATCCAAACACCTATAATCTCATGCTTGGTTGAAAGCACGTAGTTCTTTTCTGCTCATTCGTCTCCGTATCTAACTTACTTCGTCTGCTTTCTCCATCACCCTGACCTACAGAGATACGAACCGAAGTTAGTGAGTTGGAAAAACAAGTGTCTCAAATTCCTGTCGTGGTCCGTCAGAGACTAGGAATACACCGATTGAGCGGACAGTGACTGGAATCAGACAGGTGTCAGCCTAACAGACCCGACCGGCAACTAGCTCAGGCTGAATTTGCACGTTGCATTCTGTGACAGAAAACTCCAGATTAACCTATTACACTAATAAACCGGGAACTAAAATGAAATGTGCTTTGAAGTACTCCACAGTGAGTCAACAGAGCTCCAAGCTTGCTATCTGTCACACATGTAACTGTGAGGTAAACTGTGGGAGAGCCACTGCAACGTCGTTCAGAACATCAAACCCTAATCCAGTACTTCTCAAATAGTGGGGCGGCCCCCCCTCTGGGGGGGCATGAGGGGCTTCCAATGGAATATGGCAGTGTACTACTGCTGTAATGTTTGAATGATAACAAGCCTACAGTCACTAGGGGGCAGCAACTCATACAGTGGTTTGTACAGTTAAAATATAAGTCATCAGGTTCTCAATAGTATTTCAATTTGCGGGGGTGGGCGGGAATGACAGAAAATAATTGAAAACCACTGCCCTAACCCAACGATTACAACACCATCATCCAGCAGCACGCCACGATTCGTGCACACACACTTGCGGCCTTTTCAAAGGATTACAGATTCTGGCTGAGGTGTGCGTACTCAGCGCGGGTTTTCAGTAAAGCAGGCAGAAGGAGGAACAGCAGGAGAGTGGTATTTAGTCAGCAAAAAGGAAACGGTGCAACAACACCACAAATCTCTTTGACCAGCTAATGCTCACCACGGAGTGACATAACATCAACGCGGGTGGGATCCGGGCGGGTGCTGGTGCTGATGGGACTGACTGAGGGGGTATGGAGGAAGCCTCTGGTCTAGAGGCAGTTTGCTGGTGTCCAGTGGAACTCCCTTTGGAGGATGGAAGACCTTTAGTAGTGTGAAGGAATAAAAAAAAAATAGCAATGTGTCATTTTCAATTTTTAGGTTATCGGGAATCATCGGTATGTTTTACCTGTGTGATGGAAGACAGTGTAGGGGAAATAGTGGGAGAGAACTGTTTGGAGTGATGTCTCCTCGTCTCTCCTCCCATGGGTAGGATAAGCGGGGAAAGCTGGGCCCGTCTCCGTGGCGACGTGCTGAGCGTCCCCGGCTGACCCTGTCCACTGAGCAGTGGCTGGTAGGAGGAGGAAGAGGAAGAGCCTGAGCTAGGTCCGCCCACGCCGCCAACACCGCTGCCCCCGTAGCCGGCGTTACTGCCAGACACGGACTGCAGCGAGGAGTTGCTGAGGGATGAGTGCAGCGAATGGCTGCTGAGAGAGGACGGAAGGGACGGGGAGGAGCTTAGAGAGGACTGCAGCGAGGGGTTGCTGAGGGAGTGCAGTGAGGCGGAGCTAAGGGAGTTGGAGAAGGAGTGACTGCTGAGAGACGACTGGATGTTGGGGTTGCTGAGCGACGACTGCAGGGACGAGTTACTGAGTGTGCTCTGTAGAGACGCCAGGAAGCCTGAGGACAGAGGACACAGTTCATCAGCGGACCGTCCAGAATGAGCGCAGACAAAAAGGTCAATCGACCATCGATTCAACCCTTAAACCAACTACCCATGACGGAACCAGGCAACTTAAATTCATCCACCCAACCAATCGAGCAACCGACCCAGTAGACACAGGTAAATACAACCAACTCAGACCTGGTGTGTGGTGGAAGTTGCCGTTGCCTCCTGCTACGTTGGCGGCGTTAATGCCCAGCTGAGTCAGGGTGGAGGTCAAGTTCCCAGTGCTGCTACCCCCGCTCAAAGAGGATCCTGGGTAGCCTGGCTCATCCTGATCCAGGGGAGTGGGCAATGGGGAGGGGAAGTGGAGGCTGGACAGATCAGGTAAGGATCCACCCGTGTTAAGAGCTGAGGGGACACCGTGAGTCGGCAGAGACGGCTGCTCCGGAGAGGTGAAGATACTGTGGCAGAAGAATCAGAGACAGGTTTTGTATGATTTTACTGAATTGCCGTTTTAACCAAAACTTTTTTTTCCAGAGAGAGGCTTTAAAAACAGTCCTAATGCGTGTGCAATGAGGAACGCTGGACTTACTTGATGCCTGGAACTTCACAGGACTTTGGTCGGGATGAAAGCAGAGGCAACTGGAGTCAGAGAAATAATAATAAAAAAAAAAGTTTGTGTATAAACTTGTATGTAAGTATGTTCTGGAGAAATGCCATTGAACATAAAGGGCAGGGATGTAAGAATAAAAATTGTTTTATTAACTGCACCTTCTTTGTGTCCCACGGTTTGAGCAGTTTCCCCTCGTCCAGCACGTTCTCTTCAATTGGAGGCACGGGGTATGGAAACACTGCAGGACAAAATAAAGAACAATCCAAACACCTATAATCTCATGCTTGGTTGAAAGCACGTAGTATAATCTCATGCTTGGTTGAAAGCACGTGCACGTGTCTTTTCTGCTCATTCGTCTCCGTATCTAACTTACTTCGTCTGCTTTCTCCATCACCCTGACCTACAGAGATACGAACCGAAGTTAGTGAGTTGGAAAAACAAGTGTCTCAAATTCCTGTCGTGGTCCGTCAGAGACTAGGAATACACCGATTGAGCGGACAGTGACTGGAATCAGACAGGTGTCAGCCTAACAGACCCGACCGGCAACTAGCTCAGGCTGAATTTGCACGTTGCATTCTGTGACAGAAAACTCCAGATTAACCTATTACACTAATAAACCGGGAACTAAAATGAAATGTGCTTTGAAGTACTCCACAGTGAGTCAACAGAGCTCCAAGCTTGCTATCTGTCACACATGTAACTGTGAGGTAAACTGTGGGAGAGCCACTGCAACGTCGTTCAGAACATCAAACCCTAATCCAGTACTTCTCAAATAGTGGGGCGGCCCCCCCTCTGGGGGGGCATGAGGGGCTTCCAATGGAATATGGCAGTGTACTACTGCTGTAATGTTTGAATGATAACAAGCCTACAGTCACTAGGGGGCAGCAACTCATACAGTGGTTTGTACAGTTAAAATATAAGTCATCAGGTTCTCAATAGTATTTCAATTTGCGGGGGTGGGCGGGAATGACAGAAAATAATTGAAAACCACTGCCCTAACCCAACGATTACAACACCATCATCCAGCAGCACGCCACGATTCGTGCACACACACTTGCGGCCTTTTCAAAGGATTACAGATTCTGGCTGAGGTGTGCGTACTCAGCGCGGGTTTTCAGTAAAGCAGGCAGAAGGAGGAACAGCAGGAGAGTGGTATTTAGTCAGCAAAAAGGAAACGGTGCAACAACACCACAAATCTCTTTGACCAGCTAATGCTCACCACGGAGTGACATAACATCAACTCATACAGAAACGGAAAGCGGCGCAGTGGCAAAACCACAATGACATCAATAATAGTTTATTCTAAAGAACAACAGCGAGACTAACGGCATTTACTGTGTATGTTTACTGTCTGAGCTGGGCTGTAATGAACCAGGCTTCAAAGTTCTTGGATTGGGTTACTGACTATAACACTGATGCTAACTACTGTATAGCAAGTGAATTTTAGGTCTAAATAATTTGGGCCTATGTTTTCTTTGCGATATTAGTCACAATAAATACTACTATTTTTATAGTTTGCATTTATTATTTGTATAAGAATATATACATACCTATAAAAAATATATATTCTCATACAAATAATAAATGCTATTTTTACGGTTTGCATTTATTATTTGTATAAGAATATATACATACCTATAAAAAAAATATATTCTCATACAAATAATAAATGCTATTTTTATTTGTATATATATATAATATATATATTCAAATAGTGCAATAAATGCAAACTATAAAAATATTAAGGTCATTGAATTCTATTTTTATTTAACCATTTTCAAGAGATTCAAAAGGCGCACTACGATTGTTGATATTATTTACTAATTTTTTTTCGTATGACTGAATATTATGCTTTCAGTTATTTTTGGGGAAATTCCAATAGGAAAGCGTAAAGGATAAGGTCACTATAAAAATAATATAATATGTACATATTTTTGTATTTTATTTTAAAAACTGTTGAGCTGAATAGTGATCCTGTAACCTGGGTGTGGTTTGAATACAATTTTGCGCTGAAGAACACTTCCATGATCGTGTTACCGAAATAATTATTCAAAATCGATTTAAGTACCAACTGTCAGCCCCGGCGTTTGTTTTTCACCTGTGCGTCTGGTGTTTTGTGGCGTCAGGGTGGGGCATCCTGTGGTGAAGGGGTCTCCTGTGGGAGGGTTCATTACGCTGGTATGGAGGGCTGAGTCGGAGTTGGTCCTGTGGGGGTGCAGATACACACACACACACAAATGTTAAGAGAAGAACTGAAGGCCTGTTCTTTGATGAAAGAGTTGAAGGTCAGGCGAGTCCTCAATCTCCAGCACAGTTGGAAAACCAAGGTTAAACACGAACCCGAGTGAAAACAACCATCAACCAGACAGACACTTTCTACTTCGTTTCAAAAATACAGATAACAGCGGCAACAAAGTCTTACCTCTCAACAAGGAACAGGGTCATTTACACCTTCTTCTCAGGACAAATGTTGAAAAAAAAAACCAAACTCTTAAGCTTTCAAACATAAAAATTCTGTAGAGTTAGAAACTACTGTAAGCCCATACAGGCAAAATAAAGAAATAAAAATACAAAGACAGACACTTGGGAGGCTCATCTGAGGCCCAAGATGGCTGCAACAGGAGATAAGAGATTGAATGTGATGAATAATGAAAAACCAGAGGTGAGAGAGGGGAAAAAACTAATTTGTGTTCAGAGTCAGTAAAAGGAAAAAAAGCAGAACCAAAACGTTAAGAATAAGGTTCGATTAGTTTCCCTTTTATTCCACACCTCTTCATCCTTCTTTCATGGGATGGAGTAGAGTCCAGCATGAGAAAAAGAAGAAGCTAAAAAGGAGAAAAAGAGGCGGATAAAGATGAAGATGAGGAGGATTCACCTGTTGAGTGCAGTGGTGGGGAGATGAAACGACTGGCTTTTATCCCCGGGGAAGTTTCCAGACCAATTCCTTTTTTTGTAATTAACAAAAACAAAAAAGTTATTTTTTTTTTTTTAACGTCTATTTGAGCAACAGAATCATGAAAATCAGGAACTGAAAGACAGATCCAAAGAAACGTGAAGATGATGTTCTGGAAGCAAAGCTGTGAGGAAAGGACGTAAAAGGAAATGAAGGAAGGAAGTTGAAGTGATGGCGAAGGGCAGAGAGTGAAGGGCAGAATGAGGCCGAGGAGACTGGTGAAAAGTGTGTCGACTGTTAGGGTTATTACAAACTGTGACAATTTATTCCTTCATTTTAAACTGGGACGACGTCACATGCCAAACTCAATATTCATTGAAAAATTGACGGCAATTGTGCATGTTTTCCCTTCTCTCCAGATCTGTAAGGTAGATTTTTTTTCATATGGAAACAAATTTTAGTTTTGCGTAAACATTGAATCTGGAACAACTGAGGCTTAATATTATAAAAACATGAGAAATTAAATTTGAAATATTACACACATCAGTAGTATTTGTTTCCTTTTATGTCTCGATTATGTTTCTATGCCAAAAAATAAAAAATTTAAAAAATTGTATGTGCAACAACATACTGCATACACTGCTAATACTACAAATCCTGCCAGTATATATGGGCTATATACTGGTGGGCCAACTTTAGTAAACATTTGATATGATCTCGCTGGCCAAATATAATCATATTCTGAGCCAGATTTGGCCCCCGGGCCTCAGTTTGATCCGTGTCCTACTCTTTTTCTAGGTATAATTTTTTATTTATAACAAAAAATATCTTGGTTCAAATATCTTTGACACAATTTTCACCCACGTCATCACAGATATCTGTTCTGTCTTCCTTTCAGCATCTCCATTTCTCCCCCTTAAAAGACGGTGCTCGTTGTGTTAGAACACGTTAAACGGAAGGATTTTAGGCAAAACAGGCACGAACGACACAACCAGAAATCTGCAATAGAAAGAGAAGGAAACAGCTGCTATAAGAAGGAAAGGGGACGGAGACAACAGTGCAGGCCGAGGCTTTAGAGCAGTGCACTCTGCAGGCGGCTCAGTTTCTGTTTTAGTGTTACTGCAGCAGGATAACTAAAGACTCAAAACCTCTGTGAAGCCACAAGTGGCAGCGAAGGCCTCGAGAGTTTAGAAACACGTCGTCTTTGAGGCTGCGGCTTGTTTAAAAATCCAGCTTAAGGACGCTTTCAGAAACACACGAGTGAGCTGCAAGCACAAAGTCATCTGAGTAGCTGCAGGTAATCGTATGTTGTTTAATTCTCCAGATTGGTGGTTTTTAAAGTTTCTCTGCTGGGAAAGAAGTAATATACATGTATTGTCTTTGCACACTGTCAGTGGTGGCGGACTGAAGAAGGTCGCAGGTTCGAGTCCACCAGCTGCCGAGTTGCTCTCCCCGCCCCCCCCCCCCCAGCTCATTATGGTGATGGTTTAAAAGCAGACGTCACATTTCCTTGTGTGCAGTGGTGTGCTGTGTCAGCTTTTTTTTTTTTAATCGCCTCTACAGAAAAGGTTTGTAAAACATGACTAACTCCCTAAGAGGAAAAAAAAAAAGAGGTTTAAATATGACACATATAACCATCACATCTTCTCAGGGACAGGTGTGCGTTTGTGATCAGTAATTGCAATTTCTCGAGTTCCAGGAACAAGTCACTGATGCGTACAAGTTTCATGAGGAACTCCCTACAATAGAATCTGTGGGCAAGATCATTGCACTCTTCCTTCGGAAAAAATACACTGATCTCATCTCGCAGTTCAAAGACCGTGGACAGCACCTTCCCCTTTTGAGAGCCATCAAAAGTGTTTGGCATTTCCGAGATTTTTTTTTGGAGTCAGATCTTTCCATTTCAGGTTTCACAGCTTTCGGTAGCGATTCAGGGTTGTTGTTCCAATTGTGTTTTGTTTTAAGCTTTTGTAATTTGCAGCTTAAGGGTTGTTTTATGTATTTACACATTAATATCGACGGTGACCATGAATTCCCTTTTTTTTTTAAATCTCTTAAGCTAGAATTAGCCAGTGAATAACGGCGTAATATGCAGTGCGTCCACTGCACACTGGGGGAGACACGTTTGATGAGCGCTTCCAGCCCTCCTTACGTGTTTTTTTTTCAGCTGTGGCTTTACATGGAACTACAAGGAAAAGCAACTCCTCCCTCAAGTCATCTCCATCTCTGAATCTGCCATACGTTATCAATAAACATTCTTTGTTGCCGTCACTGGCTTCAGCCATCTGTAGAGGAAAGCGGCTGTCGCGCACTCGTCTTTCGATCTGTCATAAATGTGTCCGCCGATGGTGTTGTTAGACAGAGAAATAGCTCTTAGCTTGATGGCTAGTACTACGAAACAATTAAAACTTTACTTTTGTGTGCGGCTTTTTACAACGGGCCCCCTCGGTAAACAACTTCCTATGAGGCGAGTTCGGCATTTGAACAAATGCAGCTTTAGAGACACTTGTTGAGCACGGCAGTTTACATAGTTTCGACATCAGAGCTACAGCACAGGCTTTCTTTCTTTCAGATCGACCCAGATGAAAGTTAAAGCCACTCTTCCAAAATTACAAAAATGTAATGTTTTTATACCTTTACAATAACAGTATATATTATTTAAGACTTTTTAATACTTTTTAAGGATTCACAGAGACCCTAATATATAAATATAT